TGCTTCAGCTTCCCCCCTCTGGAGGGGGGCCTTGCCCCCCCTCCAGACCTCCCCCCCACGACGCTATCGCGTCGTCTCGGGTGCTACGCACCCTCCTCCGGGGTACTCTCAAATCCTGGGGAGAACCCTGACAGAATTTGCACGGTCAGGATTTGCCCTTGTAAGTCTGCATCTGGGCATCTCTGTCAATAGAACAGTACTGTAACCAGGGCTTGAAATACTGGGTGCATGTGTACCCAATTTTTTTTCTGTAGGTGCATCAGTGCACCCAAATATTTTCATAGGTTTATTGTATGCAATATACATGTATAGTAGTTACAGCATATTCTTAAAGTTTAACATCTAAGTGTCAGAAAAAATAATACAATCATTGTTATAGTACTTTCCTTGAAATAGATTTTGCAGACCCTTTCTACTTATTTTATCTTACATCAGGGGTCTCCCCAGGCAATGGTGCAACGGCGGTGCGCCACTCCCAAAATTTCTAGCGCCACTCCCAAAATTTTCAAATTAAGGGTCTTCTCTTTGTATTTTCGCGGATAAATAGGCAAAAAACATCGAAATCTTGACGCGAGTGGCGTCCATTTTCCCGTCGGCATTGTTTCTGAAACTTGTGAATGGGCGATAAACGAGTAAACAATGACCATTTCGCACGACGCTACCGAGAGAGGCGCTGTCATTGATGGAACATCTGGCGCCCCGCTAGCGTTTTTAAGTCATGTAAACAACGCTAATTGTCTGATTGGTTTGTAAAACAAAGCCCTCGACCCCGAAAATAAGTTTATAAAGCCGATGCGTTTACGAACTAGCCGTGGAAAATTCCCTACCGTACCGCACCATGAGCATGTGGCGGCCGCAAAATTCGGTTAACGCAACAGATAAATGTCGGGCCAGTATAGCGGCATTTCCCATGAAAATAATGTATGTTGTTTATTTTTCGCCTGCTGTCGGTTTTTAAGTTCCAAAATGTCTGAAAAAGCAGAAATTTGCTCATAAAACGGGACGGGGGAAGGCGAGTCGCTATCGGCGTGAAGCACATGGCGAGGCCTTTTTAAAAATCGGTAACGCGGAAGAAAAATGCGTGGTCCATTTTAGCGATATTTACCATGAAAATAACGTATGTGGTTTATTTTCCCTCTGATGTTAGTTTTTACGTCCCGAAACCCCTAAAAAAGTAGAAATTTTCCCATAAAACGCACGGCCGAGGGGTGGGAGGGCGGCCGGCACAGAGCTGCATGACCCGTAAAAAGTCAAAGGTCATAGTGCACGCATATTACGCAATCACCCCAAAGCGCCGATTTAGCTAATTTTAGGGCGTTTAAAATTGATAAAATCACATTATTGATTTTTAGAAAACAATGGGATGGAAACTAATCAAAAACTTTGTGCTGAATAATTTTTGTCTTCAGAAGTTTT